ATCACGAACTTCGAATGCCAAATGAAGAGTCGACATGTCAAATAATCTAACAGCAAATATTTTGAAAACCACGGTCTCATGTACTACCCGCTGTTTAGATTACAGCTTTCGGTGATGTGAGCGCTTAAAGCTATTTCCTGCGTTCTCCAGAGTAATCGGACGCATGTTAATCCGATCGATTTGCAAACCCCGTTACATTTAACCTTTCTCCTGTTCTACAAATACTACATAGTATCCCCCGAGGAGAAGCAACCGTTTTAAGGGGAAGTCTGCGAAAAAATAAGACTTTCTTCCAGCATTCTACCCATCCGTGGACGAAAGCACTTGGAACCATTTGCAGTCAGTTAAATCATTAACCATATTCTCAGGATGAAACCTCACATTGAGAATATCCACTGCCACCAACTCATTTTGTCGTGCAACAACAAATGACCCGATGGGCCTTGATTGATTACCTGAATGTTTAATTAATTTGGTTACTGACTGATTGGTTATTCTGGTTAGATTGATCGATATGAAAATTCAATTACCTGAAGCATGCTTTTTTATTTTAGTAGCTAATGCTATTGGTAGGGTGTGAATTATATTTCATTCATTTACGTGCATCCCTCTGAATTCTGACTGCACAGCACACTGTTGCTCACTTGCGTTGCATGCATGTCAGGACTTGACCATAAAAATATATGTTTATTTTAACGCATCAGCGACGTTATTTGGCATCTAGTCCTATTCTTTCACTGTGCTCTGCCAAGCAACCAAGTAGACTTTTGAAAAAATGCAGGTAACTTAAATCTTTCATTGATACTGCATAATCGTCAAGGTATCGCGGTGAATGTTGCCCCTTCTATAGTGCTTTCTATCAGCATGTGACATTTTGAAGGAATAATGGCATCTTACCAACTTTTGAACGTGCCTAAGTATCTGGAGATCGCATATTAAAAAGGTTAATGAGGAGAACGCAAAGGATGCAGGTGTGTGTTGACATACTTGTTTCGAAAAAATGGGCATTGTGGAAGACCATGCTGATACGCCAACAATCAGATTATTTCTACCTGTAATGATGCAAAAAGAATTGCGATTCAGTTGTGCAAAGTGATAGCATGCATGTGGAGAAAGATAATTTCTGTTGATTACTATCATTCCGAATATCTGTTTAACTGGCTTGCTTTGAGAAGTAACAGATGAACTAATGAAAAAGTGCACATTGGTTGCCCAAAGTACGTCTGCTGCGTACCTACAAGAACTTAAAGGAAACTTCGCACATTTACCCCCATGACCTTGTTCAGCACGTTTAGTGATCAAGAAGCGTATCAATTATGGAGACGTAGCTACCATTTTACAGGCAGAGGTTTCTTTTTCTTGACAATAATTTATCTGGCGTTTGATTTTTTAACAAGAAAAATCAACCCACGGAGATTGGATTGCACTATTCAGGGTTTATTTGCGATCAACGTTCTTTAAATTTCCCTTTACATCTCCCTGTTAATAGTTCAATGCTGCACGTAAATGATCAAAAAAAGGATCTGAACAAAATAGCACTTGGGGTGGCGCACTGGCTGACAAAGGAATCACTGTGGGCAGTTTTGGAATGGATAATATCTGATTCATCTCTATTGCTGGGGACTTTTCAGACAAAGCAGTTTATCCCGGGAAATAGGATGGAAACCATATATTAACTGAAAAATCGAATCTTGGTCTAAAGGAGAATGTGAGAAGAAAGAAGGAACCGTGGCAGAATAGAAGACTGTCCTTAGGAAAACATCGTTCTAATAGCCCACCACTGAACAACAAAATAGCCGATGAGCGGTGACAAGTACATAGTTGCGGATTTCCGAAACGGTAAGTCTGTGAGAATAAAATAAACGCACCAAACAAGGCAACCTACAACTTTTGATATAGTATTTACCAACACAACCATATCTTGTCAAGACAAAGAAACTAACATTCAGTTTTATGCAGTGGATACCTGTTAACAATAGTTTGAGTACAAAAGCCGTAATGCTGTTAAAACAAACGTACATTTAGCGGTTTGGTTCATGGAAGGCCAGGAAAATTCCGTATAATGCGGATATTTACCACCAGAACAGATTCTGGGCTGAAAAACGTGACGAATGAGAAATGGTCAGCGTGCATCTGAATAGTGGTAGTCGTGAACTACCTTGATTCTTTTACGTCAATGACATGTCCTCGAGAACATTCGCTGAGTTGGAATATCAGTGATCCTAGAAGACTGTTGAACTTACACCAATCAGGCTCTTCTGTCCGTCCTTGGGCCATCAGTTTGGTTAGCTCGTCAGTTTTTCAAGGATTCTTTGCATGCTTAATGTA